GAGGGGTGCGTGGGGGCCCCCAGCCCGGGGGGCACTGCCCGGCGGGGAAACAGCGGCCTGGACGTCCGCTCCGGTAGGTCGGTGCGTTAACACCTATGTATTCGGCTTTTATTGTTTGCTGCCACGGTTCCACTGGGCTGTCTGGTGCTAAGTTCCCCTCTGAAAAATTTGTGTTTTCGATGTGCCAAAATGCACAGAGGATAGGACCACCACGAGTACACGAAGTTAAGGCACGAAGAAACAAAATGTGCAGCTGAAGTCGCCTGTGTACCCCGAACCATAGCCTGCCGCCCTCGCCCATCACCACTCTCGATCTATCTATAAGTAATTCATAGTGTTTTGGCAACTGCTTATTTTCTGAAATTGCCTAACCCCGTAGTCTAGGGCATGCTTGTATAATTCAGTTATTCCAGGAAACCAGAGTGCCTTACTCTCTTAGGAAAAGGTTCCGGGAATAGACATCAGTGCCCTCGATAAAATTTTTAAGACAGCTACCTCCTCTCCAAAGCTCCACTTTTTCTACTTCTGAGAAAAAGCCGCAACCAATTGGGTGTTTCATTGGCCCCCTCTTACCCCACTGCCGGTTATAAAGAAAATCAGGCATGAATTGTAGAGAATTCTTTCACCTCGAGACAGCTGTCGAGTCTGATGTAGCGCCAACACAGAGGAACTGATCGAACCAAGCAGGATGTTTGGACCTGATGCTGTTTTCTTCTTCACACCCTGCTGTTGTCCTCAGCTCTCTTTTTTTTCTGCCCAGCTCCTACCCACTACTCTATCCTTTCATGTTTCTCCATCTTGCTACATTTCTGACAGTTGTCACTTAGCTAAGAAGTAAATACAAGCTATCAGTCCTTTCTCCAGCTCCTAATGTTCTGGATACAAGTAACAAGATAAAGCAAACAGGTAAAACTGCATGGATGACCCAATCTGTTCTTGACTTAGGAACTAGGGAGAACCAAGATTCTAGACAAAATAAGACTTAGGAAAGTTGGACTTAGAGAAATAATGACCACAAAAGAAATCTCACAGTGGCAGAGTAAAATTTGATATGTACAAAAAGTAGGTTGATGAGTCAAATCTTTATATATAACGTAACCAGGAAAAATATATGCAATATATATGAAAATAATATCAAGATGAAATGGAAAACATGTGGAAAAATTTTACTTCGTTTAGCAAATTGATCAAGGAATTAACTTGGCTTAATGAAGTCTCCAGAAATTCTTTCTTAATAAAAACCCATTCATGTCTGCATACATTTGATTAAAATATTGGCTCAGAGTATACTGGGGTCAGAATAGTGGGGTCATAATGATCCTCCACCAGGATGAACAGAAATCAACTCAGGAAAATGTAGGCATTTCATATATTCCTTTCTTAGAGCCAGTTATAAGGATCAAAGCTGTTGGAGTCTAGGAAAGAGCAAGAATTGCAAACAGCTTTTTTCTGTGAAAAAAATTGAAGGAAAACAGTGAGAGATGTTCTTTTTGGCCATAAAAACACATTTTAGCTAAAAATATCTGTGACTTCAATTTAGCTCTAAACCAAATGTTCCTGTACCTTGGTTTGCTTAAATCTCACTTTTGTCCCCCAAGCTGGTAAACCAGTAAGGTCATGTGTTGAAATAATTTATTTCACAAAAAGAACAGAGTAAAATTCATTTTGCCAGGTAGTTTTAAACTCTGAAATACTTTTAAAATGTAAATTACGATGTCATATTTTGCTAATTGCTTGAGTCTAAAAAGTGTTAAAATAATGTTAAATGCTACTCAAAATCTCAGATGAGAATGATGTTTAATATTTATCTTCAAAAAGCGCAGAATGCAGGTTATATTTAAAAACAAGACCAAAAACCTGTCTCAGGAAGCGTAGCCTGTACATGACGTAATAGGTGAGTTGGTTAAATTGCATATACAGTCAGTTTATGTATGTGCAGACAGCTAGCATTTTTCATCTTCCTCTTGTTCTATGTATATCTGGAAGACCTCCCCTGCCCAATTTGGGATTGTTTCTGCTTGTGTGAAGAAGAGGAAGTGTTGTTGGGTGTGTAAATTTTGCATTCTACAACAGAACAGTATTTTGTCACTCCTGGTTTGGTGGTAGCTGGGTGCTGAAATTGTACGCTTCAATCCTGCACCAGAATTTTGGCCCCTGTCCACCATCAAGTAAACTGCTGCAGGAGCGGCTCTCCAGGCTTTTATTGGTATGGTATTGAATTGGGGGAGAGAGGTGGAAATTACACTAGATTATATGACTTTTGGCAATCCAAGTGGAAGATGATGCTTTGTTGACATCTGGGGAGGTTTTTTGGCGAGTGTTTTTGTGCTTGCATATATAGCTTTGTAGAGTACATTTACTGCAGCTGTTTACAGCCAAGTTACTATAGCCACTCTTTCACACAATCTTAAGAATGAAAGGCTTGATTTTATTAATCAATTGATTTCCCTTTATTAAATTTGTTTCCCATTTAATGTAGTAGAAATTTAGATAATTTTGTACCAGCTGATTTTAATACATAGGAATAGTTATATTTCCCTAAAATTGGTTAAAATAGTTATTTAAAATTGATCAACAAATAGTTGAGTACCAACTATTAATTATGTAGACCAGGTTGTCCTTAGTTGAGAACTATGGCAGTAAACACTGGGTGAAAGTATGTTATAGGTTGAGATTGATTGAAACTGATTATTCAGCATTTTGCTGGATGATGGGGCTTTTTGCTCTGTCTCAAAATTCAGTAACTTAAAAGCCAAGCTTTTTTGCTAGCCTTAAGGTTTCTTCTTGATATGATAGAGATAAATTAAATGTAAGATTGCAGTGCTTCAATTAACCGTTTTATTTATTAGACGAAATATTGTACTCTTAGGGTTATACTCAGATTCATATCAGATGTCACGTTAAAAGAGAACTCTTAAGATATTTGGATAATGATAGGTTAATAGGAGGGTAACAATCCAGAGCTATTTTTAGATTTCGAACATTATTTGGCAGTGCTAGAACTGGATGTATATGCTTTAAATAGATCGTGTTTACTCTTAGACACAAAAAGTGGATTAAGGTATCTTAGAAATGATTTTGGGGCCAGCCCCGTGGCTTAGTGGTTAAGTGCTCGCGCTCCGCTACTGGCGGCCCGGGTTCGGATCCCGGGCGCACCGACGCAATGCTTCTCCAGCCATGCTGAGGCCGCATCCTGCATACAGCAACTAGAAGGATGTGCAACTATGACATACAACTATCTACTGGGGCTTTGAGGGGAAAAAAAAAAAGGAGGAGGATTGGCAATAGATGTTAGCACAGAGCTGGTCTTCCTCAGCAAAAGAGGAGGATTAGCATGGATGTTAGCTCAGGGCTGATCTTCCTCACAAAAAAAAAAAAGAAAAAAAAGATGGTTTTGATCAAGGACAGATTTTTCTCCAATTCAGTCGGGTTTTCTAACTGAAATGGTAGAGTTGCCAAATAGGGAATTCTTTATCCAGACGACGTGAAACCACATTGACTGGTGGTCTTGCTTAATGTATATATTCAACATTTGTATTTTATAATTGATGTAAGTGGGATGATACATAGTGTATAGCTAACACTGAGCCTGGACTCTTGATCCTCCTAGCAGCCCCCTGTGGGTAAACTCCTACAGCCCCCTGTAGGTATTACAGATCAGGTTTCTCAACCTCAGCCCTATTGATATTTGGAGCTGGTAGTTATTTGTGGAGAGCTGTTCTGTGCATTGTATGCTGTTTAGCAACACTCCTGGCCCCAGGTTTCAGGAGCATCACCCCCAATTGTGACAACCAAAAATGTCTCCTGACATTGCCAAATATCCCATGGAGGGCAAAATTGCCTCCAGTGAGAACTGCTATTATAGATCTATCTACCTTGACCCAGAAGTGTGGTTAACTGAATACTAGTGTTCATTAAATGACCTTTGCAGAGTTGTGCATGTGTTCACAGGGAAGGGAAGGCAGCATAGGGAAAATAAAAGAATGAATAGCTATGAAAAGTACTTCAGGATTTTTTAAAATAAAGTAATGTATAAATGCAAATAAAATTTAAATTGGTAAATTAATGGAAATGATACAGAGTAAAGATATGATTAGAGTTCTTTTGGAAACATTGATGCATTGGGGTGCAAAAGTTTTTTGGGATGTATTGGAGAAGTTATGTAGAATATGATGTGTCCTTGTGTGGAGTGGGTGTTCTTTTTATATTTAAATTATATAACCTTCTTGAGAATTGACACTGTATATTTAAAAAAATAATTTTTATTTGCTATCTTCCCTCAGGTACTTAAATTAGGGGATGGTAAACAGATTGGTTTGGCTGGTAAAACAGTGAAGAAATGAAAAGTCAGCTAGAGGGAAAATGTGGATAAGCAGTCAAGGACATCAAAGGCTTAGGGCTTTAGATTTCTTTAAGTAATCAAAGTGATTCCAAGCCAGGGACATGAGGAAGAATAGTCTAATTGATAAAATGTATTATTGAGGAGAGATTTAGAAGCCACAATACAGGGAAGAGACATGATTTTGAATGAAGTTCAAACTTAAGAAAGAAAGGCATGTATGTAAGATCAGTTAGAATCGCAGGGTTTAGTAATAGATTGCAGAGTTGAGACTCTAAGTTCAGGTCTACAGAACTAGAGTAATGATGGTCCTATGGTTGATGAAGAGAAAATCTGAAAAGTGATTTGTGGGGAAAGGGGTGTTTTTTTTTTTTTTAGTCGTCAGTTACTTTCTCCTAGAAGCAGATTCTTCAGCTTGTTGCAGAACATAGCTAGTTTGTTTCAGTGGATGGTGCTTAAGTTCTTCCATTGTTTTCCTGTTATTAAAGTTGAAACATTCTTTTTAAAGTAGAAATCCTCTCTTAAGCCAAGGTTTTTTCTATCTATAGTTGTTTTTTTTATATGTAAGGTTTCTGAAATCTTTGCTGCAGTTGAGATGCATTTTTGGTTTTTTGCTTTTTAACTTGTTTCTTTGTGGTAGCTATCTGGGGCTAATATTTTCATATACTATAAATGACGTCTTTTCTTTTTCTTCCTAGCACAACATCCTAAAATAAATCTATCAGAATGACACCTTCTCAGGTTACCTTTGAAATAAGAGGAACTCTTTTACCAGGTATTGTAAAGTTTACTTTAAAATAATTTTTGAAATTAAATGAGCATTTTTCTTATCTGGATTATCTTAAATATGGAGTTATTAGAGTGGGCCTAATTTTTAGATGGGAATTTCTTTAGGGCTTTCCTGATATCAGACATGGTGCTTGCAGCATAGTAAATTCAAGAGAAAAAAACATACCTCCCCAAATAGTATCTTCCAAGAAAGCTGTCAATTTATTTAGTTTTGCACAGGACAAAGATAGTTGGGCCATGATTTTTCAGTAGCGTGAAGATAAGGGAGATTTTGCTAGTGCAAGAAGTTGGTGAAATATTTGACTAAGGTAACTTTGTTCCCTACTTGTAAATGTACTTTTTAGCTTCATTGTATTTTTTACTGTCTACTAAAGCAGTGTGACATAATTTTAGTGTAAAACAGCATGTCAAAACAGTATCACACCTGGGTTATGTACCTCCTTGTTAAATACACTCTGGCTGTACTGGCCAATTCCTCAAATCTGTTACGCTCTTTCCCTCCTTCGGGACTTCCTCAAATTGTTCCCTCTGCCTAATTGTGTGCCTCCACCCCCCCATTACCCCAACCTCCCACATTCAACGAGGTTAGAGTCCCTGTGAAATCCAAGGTTCTGGGACTTTCTCTTGCACCTGGTACAGACTTTATGGAATTATTTGTAATTTTGTTTGTGGATAGATTGTAAGCGCTATGAAAACATGATTTTGTCTTGTTTATGCTGAATTTCTGCACCCAGCACAGTTCCTGGCTCAGAGCAGGGGTAAATATGTGTTCAAAGAATGAATGAATGATTGGCTCTATATATCCAGCAGCATCTTTGTTCTAGCAGCCGTCACAGCAATTGACAGAGTGTGTGTTTGTCCAAGTTCAGATTCTTAGCCACGATGATCTGGAATGGCTGTACCTCTGGACAAGATTCTGTAGGTTGAAGACTGCTAGTCAGCTGATGGGTTGGCTCCCTTGGGTCAAGTGCTCACCTCCAGTCCAGTGTATAGCCTCTTCTGTGGAGGGAATACTGCAAAACTATATTGTACCCTTTTAGGGAGTTGTACACAGGCAGTTTAAGCTAGAAGGAGCTGGCCGTGTCAGGCAAATGGGGTGACCACAGAATTAGCCACAGAATGGTCAGCTTGACAAGGGGGTACTCTCATTCTCAAGGACCGCAGGGAAGATGGGGCTGGCCCAGTGGCACAGCGGTGAAGTGCATGCGCTCTGCTTCAGCAGCCTGGGGATCTCAGGTTCAGATCCTGGGCATGCGCGACGCACCGCTTGTCAAGCCAGCTGTGGCGGTGTCCCATATAAAGTAGAGGAAGATGGGCACAGATGTTAGCCCAGGGCCAGCCTTCCTCAGCAAAAAGAGGAGGATTGGCAGATGTTAGCTCCGGGCGGATCTTCCTCACAAAAAAAAAAGGACCAGAAGAAAGGTAATTGTGGATGTGAATGCAGGTGAATCTGTAGGTGGGAAGGAGAGGAGGTAGAGAGACAGGGAGGGGATGTTGGGGGAGACTGCGCCCCTGCACAGCTCCCTGCATCCCTTGCTTTCCTTGCCAAAGAGGAGGAGGTATTCTCTGCTGAATGTGGAGAGAGTGGGGAGTGCAGAGTGCGGTGAAGTTAGATGGAACAAGTCAAAAGAATATGTGGGGGTGCTGTTTGCAGATTCTTTTAGTTAGCATTCAAGTCTTTCTAATCTTTCATAAATGATAGCCAATTAAAGAAAGAGGTCTGTTTGTTCTAGTAAAACGTTTCCCTTTTGTTCCTCATAGAAGCCATATTCAAAGGCACTCAGCAGGAAGACAAAGTAACATTGCAGGAGGGAATTGATAAAATGTAGGAGCACTTACATGAAAAAAGTGAACCACCGATTGTCCAAGTTTCACTTTTTCCATTTGGGGTACATGTTCTTTTTTATTATTATTATTGAGGTAACATTGGTTTATAACATTATATAATTTCAGGTGTATATCATTATAGGTCGATTTTTGTGTGGACTGCATCATGTTCTACACCCAAAGACTAATTACCATCCATCACCACACACATGTGCCCAGTCACCCCTTTCGCCCTCCTCCCTCTGGTGTACATGTTCTTTCCGGAGCAAAAGGTAGCTGCTGTTTTGTTTGGGGATGAGAAATAACTGACTCCATGGAAATGTTTTAATGAGTCTCTGTAAAGGGCCCAAATTAGTGGTTTTATGGTAATCTGTACTTTGAGCTAGGAGCCATAGTGTATGCTATACATATGCATAGCAACATCTTGGGAATGAATATTTGTGCTTTGTATAGTGACAGTGTTTATCCTTTTTTTTTTTAATTGGAAAACATAGTGATAACCTAAGTTAATTGCAAAAAAATCTGGTTTAGAGGATTGGTGCATATTTTGACATGAAATTTCTATATGTAACCACCCTATGCTTCATGCGCATGTATTTAGAACCCTGAAAACTCCTGAACGACTATCACACTTAGAATTTTAGTTAAGTTTTAGACAGTCCAAGCTTACAAAATGCTCATGCAGGTGGCTAAAGCCAACTGTAAGTCTAGTCTTATTAGAGTCGTGCCTCAAGCTTGGAAGCCAAGCTACTCTCAGAATGTGGAGAAGTTTGTCTTGAACTTGTTCATTTGGGCTCACTTTATTATCTTTTTCTTTATGAATTTTAATGATAGTAATTCAGAATGTGTCGATAGAATAAGTCAAAGACTTCTGCATTCTTATATCCAAGAAGTTGTAGACTTTTGCTAAATATACAAAACCTAGCAAATATAGGTGATAGCTATATGTTGGTTGGTCTGTTGATGAGAGGTGTTCAGGTGAAATGATAGTCATTGTTTTACTAAGGGATACTAGGTTTTTCACTATGTAAGTCTTTGTTTTGAGGACTTTTTGATGTTGTTGTTCTCTTGCTCCTGTCCCATTAATAATTTTCTTGATTTTTAGCTTATTAATAGCTACTCTTTGAGTTCCTGGAAAATATCAGTTACTATTTCTCTAGAATACTTATATGCATTCAATGTTTGCTCCTTTAAATTGGAAGCTGCCTTGAAGGCAGGGACTGTGGTTTGTTCACTTTGTCTTCTTGCTGCTTGCTATTGGCTCAATAAGTAGTTGAACAAATGAAGAAACGTTCATGCCTCTACATCCCTCCTTTTCTCTGGCTTTAGTTCTGTAGAGGTGGGTCAAGTTAATGCAGGGCTAAGTGTGCTACCTGGGTCCAAACCCACATCTCCAGTGAGACTCCTCCATCTCTGCTAAAGGGGACTCTGCATCTGATTGAACTAATGCAATTGGCTGCTCTTTTCTTGCTTCCTAAGCTAAAATTTGAAACTCTCCTACTTATCCCGCTGTCACTTGTTGTTCTGTTTTCTTAGGAGAAGTTTTTGCAATATGTGGAAGCTGTGATGCTTTGGGGAACTGGAATCCTCAAAATGCTGTGGCTCTTCTTCCGGAAAATGAGACAGGTGAAAGGTAAGCATGGAAATGTCAGGTTACAGAATAATTGCTTGGAGGATTCTCAGATACCTTGGTATATTTTTCTTCTTTTAGTTTTAATTTTTATCAAAGTTATCACGTGCGTAAAGAGTGAAATAGTTTTACAAAATTCGCTGTGAGAAACCAAGTTCCTCTGTTCTTCAATTTCCAACTTGCAAACAACCAATTTTGGGGCCAGCCCGGTGGCGCAAGCAGTTAAGTGCGCGCCCTCCGCTTTGGCAGGGTTCGCAGGTTCGGATCCCAGGTGTGCACCGATGCCCTGCTTGTCAAGCCGTGCTGTGGGAGCGTCCCATATAAAGTGGAGGAAGATGGGCACAGATGTTAGCTCAGGGCCAACCTTCCTCAGAAAAAAAAAAAAAAAAAAGGATTGGCTTAGGATGTTAGCTCAGGGCTGATCTTCCTCACACACACAGACACACACGAGACAACCATTTTCAACTCTTGGCTGGTTCTTTTGGTATTTACCACCATATTTCTAAATAACAGGCTTATATTGGTATTTCTTATTTAAAATAAAAAACTTCTTTAGGCATATCTTTTGGCTTTTCACTACATCTTCTTAATAAAAGATCTTAATTTTTGCTTTAGCCTATAACGTAATTTTCTTGATGTATATAGCGTTAAAAGTAGCAGAATGGAACACATACCTAGATATCTTAGCTAATGTAATTAAGCGAGTTCACTGCTGACATTAAATACAGCACTAAACTTAGCATGGGTGTATGGCTGCCTTGTCCTGGGGAAAGGAGGATCTGGGTGCCGGTTTCACTTCTGCAGTTAACTGTGGTCTTGGGCAGATCTAAAATCTCTAGGCCTCAGTTACCTCATGTACACAGTAAAGGGGTTAGGATAGAATCAGTGAATGGCAGCAAATGTGGTACTTCTCCACTTGGGGATATTTGGAAGTGTTATGGGTTGTCAGGATGTATGTGTGTGGGGCGGTGGGGGTGGGGGCGGTGGGTAGTAAGGAGAGATTGAGATCCTAAATAGTATACAAATACATGCAGTGCCCATAGGGAGAAATACCAGATTAGGTGATTATTAAGCTCAAATTCTGTTTTCCTGTAGCGCAGTGCTACTAAAAATGTGGCCTGTGGACCAGTGCTAGACAAATAACTTTTTATCCGTGCATGATGTGAGAAATACAAAAACTGAGAGCAAGCATTTAGAAATGTTTATAGCAATTTGACATAGCTGGGACATCCATGTATGTCATGGTGGACTCATCTCGTTGAACTGGGTACATAGGCCAGAAGTATTGGTCGCAGGATAGTTGGGGTAGAACAAGCAAGCAAAAACTGGTCCTTTGCAGCGGATGGTTTGAGGAGTACTGATGGCAAAGCAAAGGAAAACTAGGCAAGTAAAACAGTACCATGATGTAGGTTAAGGAAAAGAAAACTAACAAAAAACGTATATAGAACAACCTTTTCCCTATTTGTCATTAGTGTGACACATTTTCTCAGTAAAAACTCAATTCTCCTCTGTTTTTATAAGTTCTATTGATAAATGATATTGGGATCACAGAGGAATGAGATTTTTATTCCCAAGTGGCTACTTTTTCCTTGATTTTCAGATCAGCCATTCCTGTCTGAAGTGAAACCTCATGTCTTTCTGAACTTGTTTCTAAAACACCCTCTGAACTCTTGAGCTGCCCTGTCACCTTTCTGAAGTCCATTTCAGCCAGCCTGGTCAAAGTGATGTGAACAGAATGAGATAACACTTAACTACTTAACTTGAAAGGACCCGCCATTTTTACATTGTTGATGTACACTGTAGTATAATTGACTCATATGGCAGATAAACAGTGCTCCACAAGGAGAAAGGAAGTAGATGATACACAAGGCAAACAGATTTGTTTGCCTTTGGACAATATTCATGTGTTTTAGAATTATGTTTCTTAGGGATTTCAGTGTGCTCTGCATCTAAGTCCTCTGTACCTCTTTTTCACAGAGTCTCTTAAGCCTCTCTATACCTGTAGGCTTGTGGTGACAAGAGCTTTGTTGGAATTTTTTTTTTCTACTTATAGA